GCCTGATGTACAAAGCACGGAATAAACACCTTTTTATGTATTTCACGTCTCAAATAACAACAAGCTGCTGCATATGATCCAGCTGAGTCAGTCACAAGATAGTTTGCTCTTATATCTAATTTTTTTACTCTTCAAAAAGATTATGAATTCTAAATATTACTTCTTCTTTTCATTGTCTTTCAATATTAATATCTTCTGCTTCCCAAATTAAAGTTTCTCCTGAAGATGTGATAAATACTATGCCCATCAATTCCTGATTTACAACATTGTGCCAACCATCAAAAGCAATCATAACACCAATTTTATTATTGCAAACAAGATCCTTGATTGTTTTCTGAACTTCATTAGTTGTATTCATTAAAATACAATTGCCAAGTGATCTTTGATCAGGTAATTTTAGATATGGAGCAATAAATTGAAATAATTTGTGAACTTCTGAATTTTCTATCTATTGAAATACAACTCTAGTTGAAATTATAGCTCAGAGTATAAGACATTCAAACTTAGAAACTTCAGAAATATTAAGAGAACGGCCAATATATTGAGATAATGTTGTTTGTTTTTTTAAAAAATTGTTAGATACGAATAATGAACTAGACGAATGAGTTGATGTTGTTGAAACTGAATTATCATCATCATCATCATCATCTATATTAAATGTTGTTGCACATTTTTTTGATGTTGAAGTAGCTATGTTGATAATATTTTGTATTTGTTCAGGTGAGTACTTTACGGCAAAATAAGAACAATCCTTGAGATAATTAGCACAATAATGTAAAGTATTTGTAATTTTCATATTCTTATCTTGCAAGGCAAACTCTTTTCCCACCGCTTCTATGCATGCTCTACAAATATATTTTCAGTTGCTTTTATTTGCCTACTCATTGGGTAAAATATAAAAATATTCACTAAGCTGATGTGATAGTTTTTCATCTTTACATGTTATAATTCGCAAAATGTTCAAGCATAAAAATCAGTATATTATAGAGTTAACAACCATCTAATATTTAGGCTCAAAAGTATACTGGTCTATATTATTATAAACCTTCAGTTACACTATACTAATTTCTTTATTATTCTCCTAAGTTTATGAATCAAGATACTGTCAAAAAAAGTTAAACAAATGCAAGATCTTTACTTGAACTAGTTGTGAATATGGATATATGATGATCATATGATGGTTTATGCAGATAATCAATTATAATAAAAAGTTTAAATGCAACTAGAAAAATCAGGATTTAAAGTTTAAATCTAGATAATGTGATCGATTTATTTGTATCAGTTGGTGAGAAATACGTTTTTTTTTCATATGATTGTTTCAAGCAAAGAATAACTATATATATACATTTTTAATAAATAAATTCTCAAGAGCCTTATTATTATCGATACAAAAATAAAAATAAAACAAATGATCAATAACGTACATGCACAAAAAAAAAATAAAAATTTTGACAACGAACTAAATAAGCATAGCGAATATGTATAAAATAAACTGCTAATTCCAGCAATATTCAGATACTAATTAAAGTTAGTTTATTTTTACTCAGTTTTTACCTTGGACATATGCTAAAACAATCAAGGCA